TCCAGGTGGATAACTGACATTATGGGTGTAAACACTGACAACAATGCGTCTCTTATCCTCTTGTGTTTTAATATTCTCGTACACTATTATTAATGAATTGTATTGTTCATTTTCGCATATATAAAGAGTAATTCAATCAAATACATATTCAGTAATAAACAATGATGAATCTTTTGTACATATTCTTAAAAGATAAATATTGATATCCTTAAATGCTGCTATATGTTGGCGTTCTCAATCCATCTTTTTCTTTGCCATTAGTGGTTCTACTTCTATTGTTCCATTTATTAACATTAAATAACATTACTTAAACATATAAAGTCAGTTCTGCTATAACGCGATAGTTGTGTTCTTGTAAAACATCGTGTTATAGAAATTCGCGTAATAGAAATAACAGGGCTCATGGAGAAAATAGGGTTAGGTGCAGATTACTACTCGAAATCGAAAAAAATTTAGTAGTTAGCCTAACACAAAAGATAGCACAGTCTAAATAAATGTTACATTCATATCTAATAATGAAATCATACAGTAAATGTAACATTTTACCTTGAAAAAATATGAATATAACTTGATGGGGGAGAAGGGTGATTTTGAGGTTGATAACATCGAGCTTCTCTTCAAGGGTTATAGCCTTTCTTTTACGATCATCACCGGGAATGCGATCACCAGAACGCTTCTTGGAGATATTCTTCTTTACCATATTCACAGTTAATACCACAAAATTGGAGAAATAGTGAGCAAAAATCGCGTTACAGCAAACAAGCGTTCGCGTTATACAAATATCGTTCCTCTATTCATAAATCGCGTTAGAGCCAATTCGCGTCGTCAAAACACGTGTTATAGCAGAACTCACTGTACCTGTACAGGTATATAAATTTTTTACATTAATTTACTACAGCCACAACCAGGGTCTTATTTTCTTAATTTTCTCGTGTAGAACTATCGTCCCGGACTCCCGGGTGTAAACACAAACGAAAACAATGGCGTCCCATCTCCTCTTGTGTGACCATATTATTCATTTATATTGTATAAGGTGCATTCACAAACATTATTTAAAGAATATAGTTTGCAATTTTCATTAACTGTATTGTTTTGGGGGGAAAAGAAGGTAAAAAGCCACACAAAAGATATGGAAAGGTCACACTTGGGAATGCATCTCATTAGTATAGTACAGGTTGTACCTCTCTAGTCCGGCAACCTCGGGACCTGACCGGTGCCGGACCATGGAAATTCACCCTTTTCCTGGATAGATAGTGACTTGTGCTTATGCTTGGAAGCACTAGCACCACTTTCTCTGCATCATGGTCTCTTTGAAGACATATTGAAGGGTTAAATGTCGTATAGTAGCTTCTTAAATTTCGCGAGTTTTTAATTCTTAACGTATTTTATTGGAACACACAAAAAAATAAATAAAAATTTTGACGGCGGAAACTTGAATTTCGACGGGTTTGAACGGCCCGCCAACGCAGCAGACGCATATAATCGGGTAAACAGCGCCATTTCTTATGTACAAAAGATTCATTATTGTTTATTACTGAATGTCTTTTTATTGAATTAATGTTAGTGTGCAAAATGAGCAATACAATTCATGAATAATACGTGAGAATATTAAAACACACGAGGAAATGACACAGCATTGTATTCGTGATTACAAAACCAGTGACTGACTGGTTCTACATATAAAACTGAAGAAAATAAGACCTTGGTTGTAGCTGTAGTAAAATTAATGTAAAAAAATTAATATGGTTGTTTGAAGTACCTGTAATGTTATTTAATGTTAATAAATGGAACAATATAAGTAGCTAACCATTAATGGTAAAAAATAAAGTGAGACTGCGCGTATGTAAGTGTGCACACGTGAAAACATATCGTCATTACTCTACATAAGAATATGAAAGCAACACTTATTTACTGCTCATATATATTGAAGGGTGAAATGTTGTACTCTGTATAGACAAGCAGAGAGAGAGAGAAAGAGAGCAGCCGAACTGCCGGATGTAAACAAACCTTAATTTCCCGTGGCTTTGTTGTTGTTGTTTTTTTTACGGGGATTAGCCCACCCGGGCATAGGTCACCGACCCACATTGGGGCCTGAGGGGCAAAAATTTAATACTCCTGTAATAATAATAATAATAATTCAGATAAGTAAAAAAAAAAAAAAAAAAAAAAAAAAAAAAAAAAAAAAAAAAAAAAAAAGCTGCCGATCTCCCTATTGGACAAACTAAAATCGTTCCGGACCACGGGAGTTTCTGGACCACAGAATGCCGGACTAGAGAGGTACAACCTGTACTGTATTTCTCGGCGTATAAGCCGAGGTTGTAAGCCCCCAAACATTCCCCAAAATCATGGGGTCGGCTTATACAGCAGATCTAGATCATGAACCTTAAAAATTTCTGGTGCATAGCAGCGAGACATTTACTACTCACAAACTTCAATGTGACCGCCCAAACAGTTGTTTTTCTCTTTCTGAGAACCCATATATAAAACAACTTTGAAACACAACTTTGTTATTATAAAGACATGAACTGAAATGGCCTAAAATACTAAAATAATAGAAATACTACAACAGCTACATGACACGACTGTTGTTCACTATTACTGGCAAGGTGGCTTGATCAGCTGTTATTCACCCCAAGAAAAAGTGCAAAAGAAAGTCTTGAATTACAAATTCTTCATTTAAGACATGAAAAGAAAAAGACATCAGTAAAAATTTTAAAATACAATATAGAATTGAAATGGTTTATAAATCCTTCAAAATCTTCCTCTGAACTAGTGGTTCCTTCCGGCGAATCCCAGTCCTCCGATTCGACTGCGGCTTCGGCTTCATCGTCATCTTCCCACACCACATCCTCCTCCTCACCATCCAGAGAATTGGATATTCAACATTTTTTAAATGATTTTACTACTGTTTCTGTTTTATGGCATTCCAAGAATCTATCACAAATTCGCACAGCAACTCAAGTGGCGCAGCTCGCATATTGCCTCCTTTTGTTAATGTTTTCTCACCTTCAATCTTCCACTTGTTCCACCTATCTCTAACTCTGACCTTGAAAGGCTTATTAAGGCATACATCAAGAGGCTGAACAACATATGTTAATCTACCAGGTATTACTGCAGTGTCTGTGTTATGTTTTTTCAAGCATTTTTTCACTGGCTCAGTCAAGTGAGACAGGAACATATCCCACACTAGCAAACTACGCTCCTTCCTCCGTCCACCTGGCCTCCTACTCCAAATGTGTTCTAACCACAGCCTAACTCCTCCTTCGTCCATCCAACCATTCTCATGCACGTGCACATACGCCCCTGCTGGGAACTTAACTTTTGGCATTGTTTTCCGCTTAAAGATAATCATGGGTTTCAACTTTGTTCCATCTGCCATACAACTCAAAACCACTGTGAAGCGTGCATTTTCATGTCCAGTAGTCTTCACCAAAATAGTTTTTGGGCCGTTTGCTTCCACCGTTCGATTGCTGATCATATTAAAGTTCATAGGAGTTTCGTTCATATTACCAATACAGGTTAGAGGGAAATTGTGGTTGCGCCGTATTTGAATAATGTACCGTTGAAAACATGTGATTTTGCTCTCCAGGTCACGGGGTGGCTTCTGTGCGATTTTAGTTTTCTGTCTTAATACTAATCCTTTTCTATTCATAAAACGGCTACACCGGCCTCTTGTTGCCTTGAAGTCTTTACTGGTGTCTGGATTTGACTTGGCCAGCTTCATTGCGTAAATACATATGTCGTTCCCGGTGATCACGTATCCACTCTCTCGGTTCTCGTTGACCCACTCGAATAATTTCTCCTCCAGTTCTGGTCACTGTTATTTACCTCTTCTCAGGGCACATTTTGTTCTGGGGATGTCTTTTAACTATTCTTCAGCCTTCTTCCACTCTCGAACATGCTTCTCGTTAACGCCGAATTCTCTTGCAGCTGCAGAGTTGTTTGATGCCTTTGCAAATCTTATAACTTTTAACTTGAAAGATGCGTTGTATTTCATTCGTTTTGCGGGTGGGGCCATTTTACCATACCTGTAAGGTTTAAAGACAACCACCTCATAGATATGGAAAATGCCAAGTGGAGAGAATGTGGTAAACAGATAAGAGGTCGATTATGAAGGTGAGTCAGTCCAGTATCGAATGTCAAACCGCTCGTAACAGTAATGCTAATAATGAGACAAGAGGTCGACTATGAAGGTGATTCAGTCCAGTATTGAATGTCAAACCGCTCGTAACGGTAATGCTCATAATGAGTCGAGTTTGGGGGTCGGCTTATACACACGACATCAGCCTAGAACTGATATTTCAGCTAAATATTCGGGGGTCGGCTTATACGCCGAGAAATACGGTAATTAATGATTCGCGATACGATGATTCACCTTACACAACTTATTGGAGGACACATTACCGTCGTTATTTGAGGCTTTACTGTATTCTGTATTTTGTTTTGTGTTTTGTGAATTATATTGTAGATTGGAGAGATTTTTACATTTTCCCCATATTATTGTAATTCCCAAAACACCCAAAAGATTTTCTGTTAATGCAAATTTTCTTCCATAAAGTATCTAATAACTCACTCCATACATTCTCAACTCCTAATTACAGGTATTCACAAAAAGTAATTCTCACCGGGAAAATAATAGATCTCTGGGTGACAGAATCACCAACATGGCAATGATGGTTCCTTCCCACACCTGCTGCAACTTTTGGTTTTACTTAATTCTTTACATCTTGCTCGCTCACTCACACTACTGTATATACTGTACATGGTCACTTCTCATTTCTGTACTGTAATAAAATGTAGTGTACAGTGAGAATTATTTTCATTTTTCTTTGGTACAGTACTTTCTTAATTACGTTACAGTATTGTAAAATAATGAGAAATTTAAACTTATTTCTATTTCAGCTTCCAATGACAACACATTTAAGCCTGATCTTTTCTTATTGCTGTGTTTCCAATCTATTCTAACTATTATGTATTTATTGTTACACCATATACTGTACCTCTGTGGGACCTAGGAGCCCAGAGATGCCATGCTGGATGGAGAGACCAGAGCCCACACAGAAGATCATGGCCCCAGATATTAATGAAGAAACATATCTCATGGTGGTGTAGCCATAGGGATGAACTATGTCAGCACTCTGGAAAATGTTCAAGTACATTTAAATTGTCTTTTGATTCTATGCAAATTAGAGCAAATACTTGGCTGGATGTATATTTTACACAGCAATGAAGAGGAGAAATAAACTGGTTGGAAAATTTAAAGGATACTATACTTGAGGTCAGTAAAGTTCAGTATGACATGCTCCAAAATGTGTGTTCAGAGGGAAACAGAAATGCACTTTTATGTCTGTAGAGCCACAAGGAACTCACATTGAGCTTGTATAGCTTGAGAATAAAACTTTTTGAGTTCTTTATTAGTATACTGTACCTTTCTTTTCAATGTACAGTAGCTGTTAGTTTTTCAAAGTAAATGTATAAAATAGGGAATATAATTTGTAATCACCCGGTATTTTTTTCATTATACCATCCTTCAAGCATTTTCATGTCCTTGTTCTTAAATGTTTAAAACACTGATTAAGCAGGTGTTTTACTGCCTCCTACCTACCTGTTTTGACTTATGAATACCATAGGCAAGAAGGAGCTGGTTGGTGACATCAGCAAAGGAATGCAATGCTTCTGCAAACAGACTGTGTGCTCCAGTGAATGCCCATGCCCCTAACTTCATTATAAAGTTTGCTCCATTACTGAAAGAAACAAATCAGCAGATTAACAGTTTGGGTGGGAATTATATTAAAAAACAAAACAATCAATCTTATGAATATATTCCACATTTCTTATCAACAAACAAAGATATTTCCCTGTAGATAAAGTATTACAGTACAGTACAGTAAGTGAAAACAACAGAAGGTATGAGATAGAGGTGGAGACTAGAACCCCAGGCCCAATAAAACTCTTTCTCATGTGAGGTGAAACAGTCTTTAGATATAACTAACAACAACTTAATTAGTCTTATAGTTTAATATACTGAGTGACATATAATGTCTCTACTAAAATTTAGGATAATTTGTTACATAAGTACAGTGTGCTACTAAATAAAAGAACAGTGAAGTTCTTATATGTTATGGAGACACCGGCGTCAGATCCAGTATGGCGAGTCATTAAAATTTAGTTGAGATATTAGTGTAGTAATGTCTGACGTAATAACCTCCAAATAAAAAAAAAATTGTTACAATGCTACTACAAAACTCATCATAAACATCAGAAACCAAAATTTTATTCAAGGTAATTATGATCTTCACTTCTGAATGAGTGACCACAAAATCAAGTAAGACTTCTTCTCTAGGCAGCACACAAGGCACCTAGGTGTTATGAACTTCACCAATGCAAGCAAACTTATATTACAGATCAGAAACAACATTTTAATCATAGAAAATTTTTAGAAATTTTCACCCTCTTCTGGGATGAGCTTCCTTAGTAATATCAAGGTTCATCAGTGCTTAGAAACTTATGTTACAGTTTAGAAGCCAGTAATCTAGTTTTACCAAGTAACCAGTGAATCACACGGGAATAGGCGCTTTAATTTCCCTAAGGCTAAGGTACTGTACCTATGAAACATTTGGGTCAGTAATACCCACATACTTTAGTTACAGTTCAAAAACCAATACAACAGTGTTATTAACAATATGTTTCACTGTTGACTCATTAATTCCAGAATCACCCAAGATTTCACTCTTTCTAAGGCCAAGATACTTACTAAATGCCAAAGTTCACCTGGTGCATGAAAACTTTAAGGATTATATACAGTCCTATAATTTTAACTTAGACAACAATGACCTTGATCTTTGAGCCAGTGACCCCTAAAGTATAAGGTCCATCCTCTCCCTTGGGGCAAATAACAAACCACATGCACTACAATTTTCTTCAGTACAGTACATGAAAACTCACTTATGGCTTGGAAACCTAAAAGTTAAGGAATGGATGGACACTGGACAGATGGACTACACCATTATGTGGCCCGCAAACTCCAGAAATATATAAAGCCAACAGATAAGGAATGAGACTTCATGGTTATGGCAACACTACGCAATTACTGTACAGTAGATAATTATAAAATATATTTCCCAATGTTTTTTATGTTTAAGTGCACTAATGATGAGAGACTTTAAGATAACAAAATTACTGTGCAGTATTTCATTAATTTTAATAAAATACTATACTTTAACAAGGTGTGCTATTGCTTTTCGTTGTGACTAATTAGAAGCACCAACTCAAAGCAACAGCACAATTCCTTACATCACGACTGCAGCCCACACAACCTTCCCGGAGGCATCTAAGCCAGGTGGTTTGACAGGCTCAGGCCCAGTCCTCTGGTCACGACGATAGTCCTTCAGTAATTTCTTGATGTTGAAGATATCTGTTACATAAAAAGTGGATTAGTCTCCCAGCAAAAAATGAAGATATTATAAAATAATATTACACCGAACTATATCATAAATATGTACAGTAGACCCTTGATATTTGCAGGGTGAAGTTCTTGTAAAAACCTCACAAATGCAGAAACCTTAGTTCAATGGGAAACAGGGGGTTAGGTTCCTGGTATGACTGAACACAAAAAGGGAAAATGGTAACTGCTTAAGAAAAATTACTACAATAAACACTGTATTGTGCCTGTAAATAATTATAATCTAAAGAGAGTAATGTGTTTTTAACGTAACTGTGATGATGAAATATGATTTGAGGCGTTTGAGTTAAAAGGGTGCCAAATTTACATCGTAAGAAAGTGTGCATCAAAGTTAAAAAAAAGTAAATACAGTAATACCCAGGTTTACGCGATTTTCGTTTACACGTTTCCACATTTATGCGGTCCCCCGCCAGAACCGGATGCCCACTTTATGCGGTGCATCTACTCATATACGCGGAGAGCGGCTGGCGGTCCCCCGCTGCCACTTTTGGATTCAAACTTCCCGCCATCTCCCGTCATCCCACCATGCTTGGGCAAGCCGCGCGGGTAGGTTGCGCAGTGGATGTCTCTGTTGCGTTATCGGTGACGTCATATGACGTATCGGACTGTGATTGGGCCACGCATCCTTACCTCCCTCCGCCGCTAGCTGTGATTGGTTTAATGTAATATGACGTGCCCACCCGCGGGAGGGAGGAGAGACGACGCTTGACCTAGCCGCGTCAGTTACATCCCTCCAGGCCACACCGTGTATACCAGTATCTATTGTTCCGAAAAAATGGCTGCCACCGGACCACCACCACCACAGAAAAACCTTGCATTACCTGGACCCAGCCGCCCTAAGCCAAAGAAGATACAACGTTCCCTAAGCTACGATGTGAAGTACAAGATCATTCAAGAGTTGGAGAAAGGAAGAAGACAGGTTGATCTCGTTCGCCAGCATGGCATGAACGAATCTACGAACCGGACGATAAAGAAGGATGCAGCCAAGATAAAAGAACACATGAACATCACAAAGTCTGCAGGTGCTTCAATGTATTGTCAGAACAAGGTGCTGCTCAAGACTGAAAATTTACTTGGTGAGCTACTTGATTCATCAGGCTCGATGCAACATGGCGGTGGACACGCGGTCAGTTCAAGAATACGCACGTGAACTGTACGCAGCAGTGGCACGTAAGATGAGAATTGCAGAGCCCAAACCCTTCAATGCTTCCTTTGGGTGGTTGCAGAGGTTTAAGAAGAGGAACAAGATCACCAACATTAACATTGGTGGTGAAGAAGCGAGTGCTGACCGTGTTGCGGCTAGGGATTTTCCTCCAATCTTACGTGAGGTTATAGAGCAAGGACCATACACCGATGACCAGGTGTTCAACATGGACGAATCCGGTCTGTTTCGGAAAAAGCTACCTTCCAAGACCTTCGTTGTCCAGTCTGCCAGCAAGTGTCGGGGCCGGAAGTTGCAGAAGGAGCGCATCACCGTCCTCTTTACCACCAATGCCTTCGGTTCCTATAAACTCAAGTTATCGGTGATCCACACAGCCCGCAAGCCGCACACCTACAAAAACATGGACATGAACAAGCTAAATGTTCACTGGCTAACCGGATAAGGCGTGAATGTTCTCTGCTCTGTCACTCTCCTGGTTTGATGACTGTTTCGTTCCCGACGTCAAGAAATTTTGCGAGCAACAGAATGTTCCATTCAACATTTTGTTGTTCCTTGACAACGCACCAGGACATTCGCCCCTACTGTTGGATCGTCACCCCAACGTAAAAGTGGTCTTCCTTCCTCCCAACACTACGTCATTAATCCAGCCCATGGACCAAGAATTAATCTGCAATGTGAAAGCTGCATTCTCTACAAAGAAGTTTAAGCTCCTGAACGACTGTACCAACACCAAGGATGAGTTGCGTAACCTGGGTGACACCGATAGCGAGAGCGACGAAGACGAGGAACAACAGTTGGCGGATCAAGAAGTTCTCGTCAAAGAGTATTGGAAAAAATTTAACGTCAAGAAAGCTGTGGACTTCTTGGTGGAGGCATGTGATCAGCTGTCTGTAGCAACGGTTTGTCAAGCATGGAGGCATGTGTTGCAAGGTATCCCAGGTGGGAGGCAGAGTCAACCTGTGACTGGTGAGGTTCAGTCTGTTGCAGTGGCAGTGGACCTTGCAAGAGAAGCTGCGCAGAGTGTTACAGCTGCAGGCTTTTCCGAGACCACCAACGAAGACATCCTGGAGGTGATCAGGGATCCTGAGGTGACTGCCGACGAGATGTTAGTAGACGATCACGTCAGTGAAGAGGCAGGTGGTGCGTCAACCCCAGAAGAACACAAGTTATCGCATGGTAATGTAAGGGGTGCCATCGAGTGTGTAGAGAAACTGAAGCTCCTCCTTTCCGACGACCCTGACGATAACCGCTATGAAGTCTTCACTACCCAGCTGTTGCAGATTATGGACCCCTACATCAAGGTGTATCACGACAACATCAACACTAGCCATCAACAAAGCATTACCGAGTTCTTCGCCCGCAACCCACCACAGCCAGCCCAAGCCAGTGATAGTGACAGTGACAGTGATGGTGACTTTGAGGGATTTGTCAGGGAGGCCCTGACAACTATGGAGGTTAGTGATGGTGAGTCACCTGAGGGCCAGTAATCTGCCCTCTGCCTCGGAACCAGCCGTCATTCCCGTACACCGACCCATCTCTTCTACTAACGTAAGTGTTAAACCTAACCTTGATTTTTCCTAACCTAACCTTACGTGTTAAACTTTGATTTTTCCTAACCTAACCTAACCTTAGGTACGTGTTAAACCTTCATTTTTTAAAAACTAACCTAACCTTACGTAAGTGTTAAACCTTGATTTTTTCTAACCTAACCTAACCTAACCTGACGTAAGTGTTAAACCTTGATTTTTCTTTTACCTGGTACAGCATATTATTATTCTCTTATTGATATTTCTCTTCTATATTATGTGTGTGTGTGCATACCATCATAAAGTTAAGATGTTGTTTTTATTTCAACGTACATATTGTGTAGGCAGAAAGTGGAGTTTGGGGGTCGGCCCAGTCTCTATTTCAATTAATCCCATATGTTCTGTTGTTCCATTTGTGCGTTTCTCGTTTTACGCGGACCTCCGCGGGTTCAATTGACCGCGTAAATCGGGGTATTACTGTAACCATAAAAAACTCATCCATTATGATAAACTAAAACTGTACTATTTTCACCTTTTTCTACAGTTCCACATGTTTCTGTCTTTTATGAGTAGCCTCACACACTCGTCTGCACACATCACCGTAAATAAAACTAATCATCATTATCAATGCATGAAATGTAAACTTATAACTGAAAAAGTGTAGCAGCATAACAACTCTACATTAGTAACAGAACGAGCATATTATTCTTCATGTTTTAAGATAGCAGTTTCACCCACAAGATGTGTGGATTTCAATGAATTGCAAATTCACTAAAGCCAAAGGTCGTCGGTCATGAACTGGGAGTTGGTATACATTTATTCAATCCTGAATACCCAGTAAGTGGAATTCATGAATCATCTGAATACACTGAAGTTATAAAATTATATACTGTACTGTATTGTACTGTGATAGTTGGTACTGATGCTATACTGAATTACTACACTTCAACATAAGGTCTCAAGTGTGTAACTAGGTCAATAATTACACTAATCATAATTTTTTTTTCATACTGTGTGGCGTGACAGTTGGTTTGTTGTATGAGCCCATATACTGAGGTTACCCTGGCCATGCCACCAGGAACAAACCATCCTCTAACCTAATCTTCACCCAGAATGTAGTGCGGGTGTGACTTTAGCCCAGAAGATGTTTAAACAGGTGGGAGACATGAAAATATTGTATACAGTTTATGGGTATTTCTGAGATAGCAGTTTACAGTACTGTATATTGTAATAATGAAGCATATACTGTAGCTGTTTAAGGGTAGTTAAATTACAGCAAACTGATTTTTAGTATTTGCTTTCTAACACTAGTATGTGAAAACACTTGGTGTGTACAGTACTCAAAGAAACATTTCTATATTATGGAAAATTGATGTTTTGTTTTATAATGGTGAGTGTTCACAGAACCTTTATGGTTATGAACTGAGAAATCTGTGCAACAAAAATCTTAGGAACTTTTCTTAGGCAACCTTGCTATGAGAGGACAAAGTAAGCCAGAAGCAGCCTTAGTTTTAATGATTGTATTCATTACTCACTAATGCCTGACCTGAAGGTTACTCCCCCATCAGAAGCAACAGTTTTACTCTAGAATGCTGTCCATCTGCTATACAGTACAGGTACAGGCCTATAACAATCTAGATACTGTACTGTATATTTATTTCCTGTTTGAAATTCACTTCTCGGTAATTCATCAACTCTTACTAGAAATGCTAATCTTTTACTCAATACAGAAATTCATTAAACTTTTTTTCGATGATTCACTTTGTCCATCTTCACCTGCAGGACTAAAACATAAAACTATATTGTCTCCTGTGGACTGAAATGAGACAACAGAAGCTATAACGGGATTTACAAGATGGTCCTACAAACTTAGTAAAATAATGAGGATAAAAATGACTACTTCTGCAATTTGTGTACTGTACTAAAAACTTCATTTTCATTACTTTGTAACTGTACTGTATATAAATATTTCTTAATTAAAAAGCAGATTAACATATGCTGTAGATGTAATATCTCTAACCAGGTTTGATAATATTGTCACATGTAAACCCTGTAGTAGGAGGAAGGCACATAATGTAAACAATATTACATCCTTGCTCCAACATGTTCATAGAAATATTTTGGATGAAAAGAAAATTAGGCATCATTTATGGTTTAGAGAGCTTAAGACAAATCAATGCAGAGAAGATTTAACCAATAATAGTGTAATGTACATGAAGCTCTGGTCTGAGAATGTGGAGTCAGTGTGTGCAGTATGGTTTAATATACTGTACAGTAGACCCTGACATAACGTGACTTGATACAATGATTTTACTACAGTATTAATTTTTAGCAGTACTTTAGCTTTCTGGTGTTACCAAGGGAACCCTCAGCTATGATCTTGGTAGTGCAGCAATTATTTTTTTTTAATTGGACTAGGATGTTTTGTTCAGGTTTATGATGCTTTACAGTATTTGCATTTATATATGAAAAAGAAGCGAATAAAATGAAATGAAGTTGGGATGGTGAAGTGTATCAATGTTCTCAAGAGATCTGTGAACACCATTTGCAGAGGGGTGCTTCTGAGGAGTAGTGCTGCAGATAATTTCATTCATATTTTTGCCCTATTTTTGTTGTACTGTACTGTACTATAATAAATGTTACACAGCACTCTACTGTGTTCTTTCTTTTTATATTTTCCACCTAACACCAGGTCACACAACACCCATATTTTTCAGTGAATTTTAATCTAAATTAGAATATATAAAAATTGCCCCACAGAAAGGCAGCTGGGAAGTTGTTATGCAGTTTACTGAAAAATAGTTTTTCCCAAAAAATTGTTAAGGATAAAATGTGCCAAGTATGGAAATTTCAAGGGTGTTTTGTGTTGGGGGAAGAAAGAAATAAAAAAAAATAAAATAAAACTTCCTTGCAGTACAGGTTGATAACCCTTTACCCGAAATTCCGAAAACCGAAAAGCTCTGAAAACCGATTTTTTTTTTGGGGGGGGGACATTTTTTTATTTTTTATTTATTTTATTTATTTATTTTTAAACAGGGATTAGCCCACCCAAGCATAGATCACTGACTCACATCGGGGCCTGGGGGGGGAAATGTAATAATAATTATAATACCGTACAGTAATAATAATTATTCATAGTAAATAAAAATTTTAATAAAAATACACCAAAATAAAATAATAATGATAACAATAATAATAATAATGATAAAATTAATTATAATAATAACAATAATACTATAATAATAAAATAATAATAATACAGTAAAGAAATACAAGAATGAAAAAAAGACCAAAAGTGAGAAACACGACCTAGGCTATGATATGAATTATTATTATTATTAATATTACTTTATTATATTTTCGCCTCCCAGACCCCAATGTGGGTCAGTGATCTATGCCTGGGTGGGCTAACCATTCTGAAAACCGAAAAATTCCGAAAACCGAAATGCTTCTGACCCCAAGGATTTCGGATAAAGGATTGTCAACCTGTAGTGTACTGTACATTAATTTTTTAATGGTGAAATTGCATCAATTGGGTATGCCCATGAAATCATAATATTGTTTTCAATGTTTCATTTCTCAAAGAAGCATTAAATATTTTTAAAATGTTGCATTAAATATGCTTTTAAAGGTTTAATGTAATATAGAGACAATCAATCAGTTGATGAAAACCCAGCACTGGCCAGCAGCAGTTACACACATCACAATGCCCCTAAAGGTTTATTGCTCCATCAGTCACTAAGAATCTGAATGACTGCAGTCAAGAAAGCATTTGCTCAGACTCAAGATGAGTTGTTATATGTTAAAAAGTGTTTTGAAATACTGTAATGTAATGTCATTAGTGTTGAAGTGAGAAACAATGGTGTCTAATGGAATTTTCTGAGGCTACAGTCCAGTATCCTATGTTTCCCATTGAAATATGGTAGAGTACATAGAACGATATAACATTATTTGTTATTGAGTTACAGTTCTCAGTCCTACTCTCACATTATATCAAGGATCTACTGTATAATGCATGGGCAAGACACAACTGTACAGATGTGTGATACTTTCATGAAGTACTGTACTGTATAGTGACATGGATACACACACATTAGAGAAAGTCACACACACAGCTATAAGGAAAATAATGAGGGAGAAATGAAGCATCTGCACAGCACTGTTTGAGAAAGCTTTACAGCCCACACTACTGCATGCTCAGGAAACAGGGGTGAATAGCAGTAATAGGCAGCTAGTAAATGAAAAGGTTTTCCTGTATTGGAAGTTTAATTAGAAAGGCTGACAGAAAGAAGTGGGGCCCCCATCACCAAGTTTCATAGAAAATTATATTGGTTCACAAACAAAACTCATCACCACGAGTTTTGGCCATACTACATCTAAAGTCATCAATGGAACTCCCATACTGAACTCAAAAGTGATAAGCTTCATCATATGAATATGCAGAACCAAGTTTGATTGTTATGGACACAGAAGAACCTTTGGTTCTTATGTAGAAACCTGTCTACAAATACACAGGCAGAGGACCAAGGACAGCAGCCATAATCTATACCCAAATATTTTTATTCACCCTTACAAACATTTTTCAGCAGGTTTCCAGAATCATGAAGAAACACTCTCTCCCATCATTCATTCTAACTACTTTAATTCAGCCTAAAATTTCCATTTACTTTATCTATTCCTTCATTAAACCCAGTATCACCATCAGCAACATATCTATCCCCATAAACCACTTGTCACCATAACCTATTCATATACACACAACACTTTAGAATACATGCATCCACCTTCTATCCAGTACCATCCTCACACCTCTTCTTTTCCTGTCTTCAATCTTTCAATATATCTAGAACACCATAGCAGACCCTCTTCATCCCTGTCTAATCATCCTTCCACATCTAATATTTTGGTTTCTGTGTTTTGTATTCTTTACATCCTATACTTCTAGCTATTTCTTCAGCTTGTTTCCAAAGGATATTCATCATACCTAGAGAGTAAAATTAATGTTGGGTCGAGTACTCACCTCTGCATCCTCCTCTATGCCACTTTCCCTCCATATTAGCTACTGATTTTTTCTCAGACATTCTATGATACAATTCCTCACTTACTGCTCCAGTCACTGATACATCCACTCCTAAATACTGTACTTAAAAAGCCTCACTTCCTGTATTCTGCCTCCATTAGAGTTAACATTAACTTCTCACAGTCTATCTTCAATATATATTTGTATTATATTCTTAATATATACACCGGTATATATATTTTCATTATTTCTTCTACTACTCATTCTTATAAACTCTTCCAGTCATGTTTGCACTTTTTTAACTTTTAAGTCATCCACCACAGCTGTGTTACCTAAAACAACTGACTCTGGTCCACTTATACTCTAAATTCCTCTCAGTGAAACTTGCTCCTTTCTACATAACTCTTGCTTTTTACCATTCTTGATAACCCTTCCAAAAAACACTCAACCATAGTGACACTACACATTTTTCACCGAGAACCAGTCCCCATTTTGGTTGGAAGATAAAAAGTTGGTATACAGAGGTGAAACAGCTACAGAGATAAAAAGATGTTGAGAAAATGGTAGGAATGGAAAAAAATATACATTAGATATAGTATAGGGAGAGAATGTGGTAGTATGAGGATGATAAGAGCATAATGAAGAGATACGGTAAATTATTTAAGAATTATGTCAAGAGCACTCGTCCTGAAAAACAGAGAGATCTACAGAGCCAATACAGTACAGTATATGTAAATACCTCTATTACAGAAGATACAAACAAATGCAGGACCCAAGGTCTGTCATCACCATATGTATAAAATGACCAAAGCTCCCCAAAATAAGGTGAGAAAATACTGATCAAACCCAACTAAGAACGTGAAGGATTATCCACATACAGAACCAAGTTTCATTATTCATCTCTGTTTGTTCGAGTTACCACATTCACAAGATATCCAGCCTGACAAATTGGTAAATGAGAGACAAAGATATATAAAAATCAGAAACAGAAAGATATATATATACAGTAACTTGATAGTGACCAAGTGAAAGTGTCTGGAGGTTCCACATGAATCACCTACTGGATACTGACAGGAACAAATGAAGTACTGTACATATAATTACTGTATACTATGGGAAATGCAAAGATATTACAGTAGATGTACCTTAAAATTAGTGGGGAAAAAAGCTGTGCATTGGTGAAGGTGATACGACCTCTTTCCTTCCAAAAGGAAACAAGCGGAGATGCAGACTATCATTACAATGTGAAATTTGTGGTAAAGAGAAAAATTGAATTTTTTCTAACAAACAGATATTGTAAGATTCTATTGTCTTGAAAGCTCAATTCAAGGCAAGTGCAGCAAGTGGTGAATAAACATCTTCTAACAATGAATAAATTCAGGTAAACAGAAGCAAAACACTAGCAGAGTGATGTAAAAAGATTTAAAATTGTCATGGTACACTACAGAAAGACTCATCTCTATCACAAATCTGGAAATGTCAGTAATATGCTTTAAATGTGGGAATAATTTGAGTATTTAAAAAGAGAAAATAAAACAAAAGCTAAAAGTCCCCAATTTCATATAATCATTTGTGATAATTACGGCCACATGAGGAAAACGTTACACATGATAACTGTGATTTTAAATCATTTTCTGGTCTTCATCATACTGCAGTATCAAATTATAATAGGTTAAGGTGTTTCTGTATTTCAAGTGACATTCATGTGATAAAAAATATTCACAGTATACATGTACTGTATATTAGTAATGCAGTCAAGACCAGAAATAAAACCAATCACAATTTTAGCATTTATGGACCATCTTAAGACTAACCCCCAAGTGCTCATCTTAAGTTTTATTACTAAAACTATCTGGAGGACCTAAACCTCAGGTGATACATAGAGACTAAAATTGTGAGTGGTCTTGTTCACGGTCACGACTACATCAGTGATACATACGGTATATACTCTATTGTATATAGAGTGAGCCTTCAAATCATACTAAAAGTTTAGAAATAATTCACTACCTCCACTCTTAAAGCTCCTCAGTATTTTCCTTAGAGAGTAAAGCTTCTTCACAGCTCTTTTCACATGAAACACATCCACTGAGGCAAAGAAGAAAATAGAAAATCATACAATTACTGTATTAAGAATCTTGTCATAAGATGATAAAATAATGAACACCATGGAGTCCTTACAGATTCTTCACAACTCCCAACTGAATGCTGTAATGGGTTTGTCCGGTCTTTGCTAAAACAGTTAGAGGGAAGATGTCTATATAAAATCTGAAAGCAAAGTGTAGTTCTAAACAATGAGACAATATAGTTCATACTCCTACCCAGACAAGACGCACATCAACATGGATGTCTGACTGGATACTTCATTCTGATCAATTTGTCTCTACTGTATGTGTTCCTGCTACTGAGGCAGCCATGGCTGCCATTTTGCAAATGGCCATAAAGATTTATCTAAACAATGAGTGATTAGGATAATGGAATAGCCTTTGCAAAGGTAATGTAAAATTTAAAAGCAACATAAATAGTGCTTCTAGCAACCACTCTGACCTCTACCAGCTATGTTTATTGGTGGTGGTAAGCTGGAGACTCAGGCTAACTACCACATAGGATGCCTTGAAAGGAAAGTTGGAGGAGTACAGTATGATATGTGGTTTTATAAGGGAAGAAATATCCCCTACTCTTCTAAGCTATCTAAGATTAAGAATTTGTGGATAATAAGTGTAAGAAAAAATCTGAACATACTACAGTCATGTCAATGAAAAAATTATACATGAGCAGCCTTCTCAGCTGATCAATATCATGGCACTACACTATACAAGATGAAATCCTATTTTGAAGTACACACTTTTGACCAAATAGTAAAAAGTAGGGTATAGTTACTGAACGCTCAGTCAAAATTTGCAAGAGGATACAGTATTTAGATAATTTGCTGTTACAATAGTTATAAAGCAATATCATTAATCAATTATTGAAAGTAAGTTATATATAAAATATCAAATAAGTCTGGCAGCAAAAACAAAATAAGAAGCCCTGGAGGACCTATATCACTCAGGTGGTGTTTGATCACAGCAGGAACATAAGGCCTTTCAGGAAAACAGCCAGTTAATCTAAATACTGTACAGCAGCCAAATTACCCATCTTGAGCATACATACAGTATACAGTATAGTATTTTTTTTTGGATATTGTCTTGCATGATAACGTTGCATTGTAATTTTTTTTTTTTTTAATCCTCTTACCTACAGTAGGCTCTCATATTTGGACAACTATTTAGACTGTAAAAACCTCGCGAAATTCAAATCATCCAAATTTAAATACAACTTCTTTTGGAGAAAATTAATTTGAGTTTGGTGCTTTCGATGTTTGGCTAAATTTTGCCTTATTTACCCTACTTTTTTGGAAAATTACTACCTGTAATAAAGCAACATCCTAATAAACCAGCAAAAATAACACAGATAAAGTTAAATAAAAACTAAAAACAACACAGAAAAAGTTCTTATGTTCTGCAGCTTCAGCTAGAGTTGAACCTGATGACTTGGCAACTTCGTCATCCAAGTAAAAACACACACATCAACATTGACTGTCCTTATGTTTTCAACTTTACCACCACTGGTGAGAATTTTTTTTTTAAATTCAGAAACATTAATTAAAACATATATGAACAGTAAATAAGTGTTGCTTTCATATTCTTATGTAGAGTAATAATGATATGTTTTCACATGTACACACTTATATACGTTGGAGCTGTGCAGTCTCACTTTTTTTTCTTTACCATTAATGGTTAGCTACTTCTATTGTTCCATATATTAACATTAAATAACATAACTTAAAACAACCATATTAATTTTACTACATCTATAACCAGGGTCTTATTTTCTTCAGTTTTATATGTAGAACCAGTCAGTCACTGGTTTTGTGAACAGAAAACAATGCCGTTTCGTCTCCTCGTGTTTTAATATTCTACGTATTATTAATGAATTGTATTGTTCATTTTGCACACATAAACATTAATTCAATCAAAAAGACATTCAGTAATAAACAATAATGAATCTTTTGTAAATAAGAGAAATGACGCTGTTTACACGATTGTGCACGTCTCAACGTTGGCAGGCCGCTCAATCCCGTCGAAATTCGAGTTTCCGCCGTCGAAATTTGAAATTGTGTAGTTTTTTCTTTTGTGTCCAAATAAAAAATGTCGAATTAAAAACTCTCAAAATTTGAGAACCTACTGTATAATGCCTCACTCATCCTGGGAAAACCCAAATGAGGGGGTGTGGTCACAACAGTAGTATTTTGCAAAAATTATTTCACACATCCAATTTTTCACCAAGGTGAGCTATCAGGCAGATTTAACATGTGTCATATACAGTGATCCCTCGGTTAACGAGCGCCTCGGTTAACGAGATTTCGGTTAACGAGTTACCTTCCATAAGATTCTTAATTTCGGTTAACGAGCAATCCGTCGATTAACGAGTTTTTTACGAGCCGACCTCAACATGTTTTCGCTTGCATTTGGCGGTCCACCAGCTGTAGTATTAGTCCGCCAATACAGTAATCGGTTCTAGGGCTTAAATTCCTTACTATTTTAGTAAATATCAAGAAGTTTATACTATTCAATAATTTTAAAAGTTTTATATTAATTTTTTTAGTCATTTTAACAATTATTGAACATAATTGAAGTATAGGAAGCTAGTTTTTTGCGCGCCATACAGCCTGTCAACACACCATACATGCGTCAGTCTCTGTGTCTTTTCAGTGGAGGTAACATCTTGCTTGAGACTCTCTTCAACTAAACGTTTTTTTCTGTGCTTCCAAGCAAATTATTGGTCAATTCGAAATTTATTTTAAATATTGACAATATATAATGCAGTGCAGTGTTGATTTAAAGAAAACAATCTTGAATGACACCAAGAGAACTAAAATTTTATGGGTGAAATGGCGCCATGGGGTGACTTCTCTTCTTCCTTCTCCTCCACCCCCATTCTAATTCCCATCATCATCATCATTATCCAGGAGCCTTCTACATACACACCTCAAAGTAAGTGTACTTTACTACCTTTTTTTATTGATTTTAGGCAATTTTCGGTGAGCTGGAACCAATTACCCAAAAACCCATTGAAACAATGGTTTTGGTTAACGAGTTTTTCGGTTAACGAGCAACCTTCTAGAACGAATTGTGGTCGTTAACCGAGGGACCACTGTATTACAAATTTGTTTTTCCCTGGTAGCGTTACAGACAGTCTCCTCAGGATACAGCACAAGAGATGGACGAGGAAAACAGCTCATGCTAAAAGAGAGCTCAAGCTATTAAATTTGCTGCTTCCATGAGACGGTTTTCTCATATATAACAAAATTAATCAAAACCACTCAGCCTAATTGCTCTGCTTGTGCCGAGTTTTGCTTCTCCATTTTGATTGTAATGACTATCAAAACAATATTGAAATGAGTTCAGTAGTATGGTGGAGACATTTTTATGGCAAGGTATCTAAATGAGTAATCATACAATGTGGACTGTGGCCCTGTTAAGTTCTTATGATTAGTCCGTTTTATATATGAGTCTCCTAGCTAGGGTGCTATTGGCAGGTTTGTATAAAAATTTACCTCCTCCATCCCAGTTCTTTAAGCTTGTAATATTGAAATTCATTCATTGGTGAGACATTAGCTATTAATGAGATTGAACCACAAAATCCTATTTTGTAGCTGAAGGAAGGATTTAAGGAACTTTGCTTCCCTTCCTCCTCCCTTGGTGGGATTCTATGTTGGATGGAACTGTGAAATATCAAACCATGAGTTGCATACAGTATTTACAGTATAGTTTATTGGTTCAGGATGAGGGATGAACCTTTCTCAAGATTGTTCACCCTGGTGAATCTAAAGCTAGGAATAGGAGTTAAAAAACACACAGTAAAAGTCCAAAAATCCGGATGCCAGAAATCCGGACCACCTGAGAATCCGAACTTTTCGAAAACTAATTTTTTTTTTAGCTGGTTTTTGTGTGTATGTGCGCATGCATGAGCACCACAGCTGCACAGCGACAAGCGACCACGCAGTCGCCACTTTAAAACGAGCAATCAAACTGTGACAACGTATGTAATTTTGAATCCTACTCTTTCCATTTACAGAGTACTGTACTGTACAAGCCCATAATAATGGCTTCTGAAGTAGATAAACTTCGTTGTGTGAAGAGAAAGAAGAACACGTTGAAATTGAGTGACAAACTTGAAATAATTAAGAAACTAGAACGTGGTGTGAGCAATACTTTTCTAATGGAAACATACAACATTGGAAAGTCTACAATTTATGATATAAAGAAGGCAAAGAATAAAATTCTAGAATTCACAGCTTTTTCTTTAAAACTGCTTGTTTTGATAAATGAAGCATGCTATATTTGCTAATGAATAAACTGTCAAAATGTACCTGTTCATCTCTTCTTTATTCCTCCTTAAATTTGAATTTTAAAAGTACTGCCTGAGAATCCGGAAATTCCGAAAATCCGGAAATTCCGAAAATCCGGAAATTCCGAAAATCCGGACCGACCCAATCCCCAAGCAGTCCGGATTTTTGGACCTCTACTGTACTTGAAACCCTGTTTTCTGATTGAGAAGCTATTATCACATTTACATTCATCTACAGGATAGTGCATTCAACTGACAAAATCAACTTCTGATGTGGTTTTCCAGTAGAGATATCTTGTAAGTAACTTGGTCATTAACAAACTGTAATAACACTTGCAATGTAAACTTAATTCTTAACTGAAGAATGTACGGCCCAACCAAAACACCTTCATCATCAACATTTTACAGCCATTTTCCAAGCATGTATGGGTTAGCTGTGATTACCTGATGGTAGGAGAAAAAGTGAGTGCACCATCTTATATTATGTTACATACTCATTCAAGCCTCTTCTATCTAACATCTGTGAAGGATATCCTTTACTCTAACTATCCCTTCAGGGTGACAGTTATGGTAGAAGTGGTACTGTACTGTTTAATGATCATAAGACTGTTCCTAGCCACTAATGTCAGGTCTGGGTTTAGACCAAAAACTTGGTGTTGCTCTTGTACTCAGGCCACCTACTGATGTATGACTGGCCATGAAATACGTCTTCCATTTTTTCTCTCTAACCTTCTCTCCATCATGTTGGCTCTATCATTTCTTTTTCTCTTTACAAAAATAGATTATTTGTAACTGAACACTATTATCAACTCTGTCATACAATCCTGTAATAACAAGTAACTTTAGCAGCATAAATACAACCATGTCACTGATAAATCTGCACACAGATATTAGTGACAACATTTAACACACATTTAAGGTGGCTAATATGGTCACATAATACTTACTTTCTTTATACCTCCTGATGTCTTTTTCTCTATTTATTCTTTCCTTCTCCAGGGCCATTAAGCTTCCCCACACCTGCACAGCTCTAGAAAAAAAGTAATGGCGTGTGAAGTTATTGAATCCCCACTATGAAACATCCAGAAATGTCAAGATTACCTTTGAATGAAGGTTTTTGGAGGAAAAAAAATGGAGGACAAAACAAAATAAAAACATCAGAAATGATGTTAACCATGAAGGTAAGGCTTTACTGACATCCACAGCATGTTCCCCCTTTCCACAAGACCTTAACACATCTAAACTAACACTTCCTTTGTCTCTTCTGTACATGACAACATCGTGTCAGTATTCAAGACATGGAGTTATTCAGCAGCACAGATACATGGGTCTGGCCTGGTGTTGGATCCAGAACAGTGAAATACTGTAAATGCCATAAATGAAGTTTTTTTTATATGTTTTGGGGAAACATTTTTTTTCATAGAAGTATATATCTCAGATTTTATAATAGAAGTCTATGGGAAAATGTGCTTTGACTTACAAAAGGTTTTTCAGAAACAGATTCATTTTGTAATTCAGGAAATACCAGTACAGGGAATAATATATTGTCCATTAATTTTGGAATGTGCTGTAAACACAGTAAAAAAAGTACTGCACGGATTATGTGCGAAATAATATGACACCACGAACGAGGGATAATGGAATATGTTTGTTGGTCCTGTATTATGGTGGTAGCCCTGCTGTCCTTGCCTGAGGGTGTCCTCACATATCTGTTGCTACCATAGGTAGGTGGAAACCTTTGCCATACAGGCATGCATACCAACCCTCCCCGCACATCAGGTGATGTATGGATCATTACGGAAGTCAGCAGACCCCCCCCCCCTCCCCCCGATACTTTTTTTACTGTGTGTACGTGTACAACAATACAGTAATAACTCTAGCATTCTGCACATAATGTGGTGTAGATTATGTTGTAATTAGTGAAGGGAGATATTAGTGCCCCTTAGTACAGGACCACTACTTAAGTTTTAGGCACAGAAGCCAGACTAATATGGAGAGTCATGCAAAAAAAAAAATCCATTCATCATTTTGAAGAAGCATATCATACAGTATATCAAAACATAACAAAGAGGATTCACTGTAATTTTCTTCTGGCTTTTTATAACATACAGTTCTTGCATAGTCACTAAGATGGATACTAACATTACATTTGAAGTTTAATATGTCTACCACTCACAATGAATAAAATGAAACATCTTACTTGGCTTCAACATCCTTCCTCCAGTACACAGTAATGGGAGGTTCATTTTCAAATGGTGAGCGTCTCTTGGTTTTACGAAGATTTTCTAGGTCAGAAGGCTTCAGCAGAAACTCTGACATTGCACGAACAGCAGTTATGAAATTCCGTTCAGTTGATGGATGGGATGTGTCAAACTTTACTCGTTCTTTTTTCCGAGGAATAACTAAGAAAAAAGATATTTTCCGTCGATAAACTTTACAAGCACACATATATAGTGTACACAAGTGATGTGAATTATAATTCAGATTTTACAAAATTAAAGGGTAGTAAGAGTTCTTATGTAAGAATGGTGCACGTACAATACAGTACCATACCCATCCTTGGTTATAATACATAGCTACTGTACATATACTGAACAGTATTTGAATACAACTGCCATCAACCACTTCGGATAAACAAACCATTAGGTTAATTCAATAAGGGTTGAGTATCAAAGTTGTTGAAATAGCAGGGTTCACATGTCCAGCACATTACTATGATGACTCTTATCCAAACTTAAAATATTTTTCAACCACGGTCAGTCAGACACTGTACTATATGTCCCCAACAAGTAAGTACAGTGATCCCTTGGTCGCCTAAATTAACAAAATTTCGGTTAACGAATTACCTTCCATAAGAATCTTCAATTCGGTTAACGAATTCCTCTCGACATGTTTTTGCTTGCTCACCAGCTGGAATATTAGTCCACCAATACAGTAATCGGTTCTAGGGCTTAAATTCGTTCCCATTTGAGTAAATATCAAGAAGGTTGTACTATTCAATAATTTTCCAAGTTTTATATTAAAAATTTGAGTCATTTTAACAATTATTAAATATAATTGCAGTACAGGAAACTAGTTTTTAGTGCGCCAAAAAGCCACTTGACTCACCCAGCATGGCGTCAGTTTGTGTCTCTGCTCAGTGGAGGTAACATCTTGCTTGAGACTCTCTTGAACATTAAACTATTTTTATGTTTTTACAGTACAATTATTGGTCATTCTGAAATTTATTTTACATATTGACAATATATAGTGCAGTGCAGTGTTGATTTAAAGAAAATAATCTTGAATTACACCGAGGAACTAAAAATTTTATGGGTGAAATGACGGCATGAAGCATGGGGTGATTTCTCTTCCACCCCCAGTTCCTTCTCTTCTCCCTTGTCATCCACCCCCGCTTCTAATTCCCATCATCATCATCAACCAGGAGCCTTCTACATACACACCTCAAAGAAAGTGTACTTTACTGCATTTATTTTTAGTTTGTATGTAATTTTCGGTGAGCTGGAACCAATTACCCAAAATCCCATTGAAACAATGGTTTCGGTTAACGAACGACCTTCTGGAATGAATTGTGTTCGTTAACCGACGGACCACTGTATAGTAAAGTTGATGGGTTAGGTGGTGATGTGCTCCCACAAAGTAAAATCTTTACCATTATTTTCCCAATAGATCAACCCATACAGCCTATACTGTATTATCAGAGTAGTGGTACAGTATATATTAAATTTTGGATGGATGGACAGACAAATGTACACACTAGAGCCAAAGCAACCACAGTACAGTACAGTGAGTTCTGCTATAACGCGTGTTTTGACAACGCGAATTGGCTCTAACGCGATTTATGAATAGAGGAACGATATTTGTATAACACGAACGCTTGTTTGCTGTAACGCGCTTTTTGCTTACTATTTCTCCAATTTTGTGGTATTAACTGTGAATATGGTAAAGAAGAATATCTCCAAGAAGCGTTCTGGTGATCGCATTCCTGGTGATGATCGTAAAAGAAAGGCTATAACCCTTGAAGAGAAGCTCGATGTTATCTACCTCAAAATCACCCTTCTCCCCCATCAAGTTATATTCAGATTTTTCAAGATAAAGTGTTACATTTACTGTATGATTTCATTATTAGATATGAATGTAATATTTATTTAGACTGTGCTATCCTTTGTGTTAGGCTAAGTACTAAATTTTTTTCGATTTCGAGTAGTAATCTGCATCTAACCCTATTTTCTCCATAAGCCCTGTTATTTCTATTACGCGAATTTCTATAACACGATGTTTTACAAGAACACAACTATCGCATTATAGCAGAACTGACTGTAATCTGCTAATGTTGAGTGTATTGACTCATGGACATAACAATACAGTACTGTACAGTAAACTTCTTCCATTTATTTTGAGAATCTACGCATATGGCTATACCATATTCATCATTACTATATGCATAAATAAGATGAGAATATGATGATAGTTAATAGAAACCTTTAATAACTGCTTCCTTGAGGCGGTAGGTGGCTGATGTAGGAGGGGTGGGAGGGTCAGACACTGCTTTCTTTGAAGTGCTTTCTTCATTAGTTGGTGAAGTGCCTGTGCCTGGAGGCCGGTCGACAGTAGCCAGCCTACGACATAGCTGTACTAAACGGACTTGTTGATACCGACTGTAACTCAGCTCACTCCTGCATGGCTCAAATTTGAGGGATGGATAGCCTATTAAAAATATAAGTAATAAATTAGAATAGTATATACTGTAGTTTGAGATTCAGTTAATTATTGCTCTTTAGAAAACATTGATATGTGACTCATTTTCAAAACTATTAACTTCCTGAAAATTTCAGCAAATATTCACTTGGATACAGTAGTTAAAAACCGTTGGAACTTACCAATGCATGAAATTGTCTTGCTACCATGATGGAGTTTTTCCCGCAACACAAAGTTCAAAACCTTATAGGTTCTAGGATACATAACTGAGCCTGAGGAGAAGAATTATTAATTAATAATTTCTCTGGGTATGAGCAAAACACTGCATTAATGATATGTTAGTTATAAAAGTACTTAAGTCCTGATATAAAGACAGCTTAGTCAGAGCCATTATGGTGATTTCAGTTATCTCCTTGTACTGTTCTGTAGTGGATCATTACCTAACCAAACCTAGTCTAACAGTACCTAAGACAATTCTCTATTGGATACAGTACAGTACAGTACTGGTGCTCCAGTGTTTCCTTTTCCTGTGCAATTCCTCCATTTATTTTTGGATAATCTAAAGGTAAGAAAGAAGTTTTCTTCAATAGAAACTTTTTCTAATTTTTCTATGTTGCTCCCTTTCAAGAGTCATGTTCTAGAGCAGGGGTGTCAAACATGCGGCCCGACACACTCTTGCATGCAGCCCGCGGCTCATTTGCTGCTCCAGCCTTACCTTGAGGAGTTAAAACTAAAGAGTGAGTGTATCCCTCAGCTGAATAAAATAGTCTGCTGTTTCCTAGAACAAGATACTCGATCAACATCAGCTTTTTGAACAGCAACTACCAGAGAGTAATCTTTCTCACTTTCCGACCTTGAAGGCCCTGCAAGGCACACCTGAGTTTCATGCTGATATCAACACAAAAAAGTACTGCATCAAAATTTCCAAATTAATGAACGAGTTCCAAGAAAGATTTGCTGACTTTAAAAGACTGGAAAAGGATTTTTTAATTTTTCGGGACCCATTCTCTGTTGGTGTTAATGAGGTACCAGAACATCTTCAGTTAGAATTAATTGAGCTCCAGTGTGATTCTGTGTTGAGGAACAAGTTTTCGAGCGTTGATGTTGGCACATTTTATCAATATTTTGGACCAAATTATCCCAGGATTAAATGTTTTGCCTCAAAGATTATGTCAATGTTCGGAAGTACATATGTCTATGAACAACTCTTTTCTGTGATGAACTTGAACAAGTCTCGGCTTCGGTCTCAACTTACTGATGCGCACCTTAATTCAATACTGAAGGTTGCGACAGCTCAGTCGTTAGTGCCAAACTTTGATGCACTGGTCCATACCAAGAGGTGCCAATCATCAGGAAGCAGCAGTAGCAAACAATAAGATTGATCAAGGTAAGTAAACACTTGATTTGTTTGTTTTAAAGGGTTTCGCACGAGGGCAGACTAAATCCACCTTTCTTATTTTGTCGTACTACTCACCTAAGAGGGGATTGCGAAGTGCTCATAATTATGTTACTTGGCCCGCATACTGTGTACTCATATTAAATCTAGCCCGCCTTGACCCCTGTTCTAGAGTATTACACAGGGAATATCACTAGATGGGGATACAATGATATGGCAGGACATGATAAGTAGGGGAAAGGAACACATTGACTGAGACATACAGGTGGGGGCAGCTTTTATTCAGCAAACACCAGCTTACAAACCTAATACAATTGTTATTTTCTAGTAGGTACAGTTTTTGGTGTCGATTATGGTGGTAAAGGTTATTACTTAGGAAAATTAGGTTTTCATGTTTTTTATCTATTTTGAAATTATGAATATTTTTTTGGTAACTGACATGAAGAGCTGGTCAGTAATCATCTGACTTTTTCCACCAAGGAGATGATTGCCTGTGTCTCTCTTATACAGTGAGTGAAGACAAGAACCAGGTTAGGTTAGGTTCTTGTAGTAATGTTTTAAATCCTACATTTTCCTTCTGACTTGAAGCCCTGCCCACCTTTGGTAAGGTGAAAACTGACAGGGTAGGAAGGGTCATGACTAAATCGTATGCCAGTGTCTGCGGAATAATTACCGCTGAGGTAAAGACTGACTACTGGTATGACATTTTCAGTTAATAATTGGTTTAGTACATGGCCTGGATTTCTGGATGAAAATAGAATCTTCTTATGTGGAATTTCATTATGAATCAATTTTCTTCTATGGTTTTTCTTGTGCAAATTCATAACGGAGATAATTATAAGCAATATTTGGATCGATTAAAATGAGCATGTCACGAAATCAGCGTGTGTCATCTATGATGTAACCCTCACCAACCATGAGGTGACAGCCAGGGGTCCTGGGGGTGGCTAGCAGCACAGTGTTAGGTTAGGTTAAGTTTTTAAGGTTCGGTAGTGCCCCACACCCTCCTTTATCCCACATTTCCTGCTAATTTAAAGCCCTGCCCACTTTTGTAGACTTCAAAATTGTTGCATAAGGGGAAGAGGGGGATATCTCAAAACCTGCTCATTTGCACAAGAAATACCGTAGAGGAAAATCTAGTCAGAATTAAATTTTCTACAATAACAACCAATTTTAATCCTGAAGTCCAGGACATGTGCTAAACTGAGTAATTACCACAGTAAATTTATTGTTTCGGTCATCCATCTACAGTACAGTATTTGGAAGTTGAAATTATGTTTTTCCGATGGGTTTTAACCTAGCCTAAACCGAACCTAACCGGTAAAAGTTGGTCACAGCACTGTTTCTCAAATGCAACCTAACCAAACCAAACCCATCCTAACCTACTGTGTGGATCTTAAAATTCGCTGGATGACCGAAACAATAATAATACCATTACCACATTTTCATCACAATATTTATTTCACCACTTATCGGTTGACTTGCCATTCGGGAAGCTGGTCTGTTCTTTGTTACTGTGTTATGACCTTTATTGTCCAGTGTTAGTACGGGAGGAAGCTGAAGCACCTGGAGAAAACCTGCCCTGTATAGTAGAGTCACACTGGATAACACCTGCTCCACCTCTGTCCTGGGCCAGGGATTGAGCCCAGGACACTTGTGAGATACACTAGTTATGTACCACCACCACTATGAATCATTCCTAATACTGTAATAACTCCAGCAGTTCAACTAATTACACACAGGTTACAGTAGATGTGTAATTCTTTCATAAAACTGTATACAATTACCCTTCTCCCTTGTTATTAAACCTCCATACAGTAACAGTAAGGTAATTATTGATGACTAACCCACGGCCGAAATACATAGAAAAGATTTTACAAATGCAGCAATTTCACTGTTTTTTTTTTTTAGTGAACCAGGGGGTAGAAATTCACATTACGCCCGGTCCAAAATAACATAAGGGTGACAAGATTTTACTATTTTGCTGGTCTGTGATGGCCCGATGGGCGAGTGGGCCGATGACAGTGGTAAGACACACTCAATGTGTATAAGAGCTTCATATAGAGAATACACTATTAATGCTAGGTAAATTTTGTTGCTGTAAAAAATATTGGGAGAGGTGATGTTGCATCTATCAAGAAATGTGTTTGCTCTACGATGAATTCATGCGATGGCGAAACTTGGAAGCAGAAGCTAGTTGGCATTGGTACAGATGGGGCCAGCATTATGACTGGGTGCAGAAATGGTTTAGTAGCTCGATTGAGAAGAGATCTAGAGAAACCGGAGTTGGAAGGCATCCATGGCAGTGCACATAAAATTGAACTCGCTTACAAGGATGCAGTTAAGGATGTTCCACTAGCCAAAAAGGTTGACTTACTGCTGCTAGGCATATACCTGTTCTATGAAAAGAGTTCTCTCAACAGGAGCATGTTGAAGCGTGCTCATGACATATGTCAGGTACCATTTCTGGTTCCAACACGTGTGGGTGGTACAAGGTGGCTCCCGCATATGCTGCAGGCATTGGAGCATTTACTGAAGAGTTACAAGGCTATTGTACTCCACATGCAGCAGATACAGAACCCTGATGATCCCACGTACCACAAGGATTCATCCAGAAAAGCTCAGAACTTCCTGCTCCTTCTAACCAGTGCTGACATAGTCCAGTACCTTCACCTCCTACTGGATGTGGTGCTGTGCCTTGGGGGCCTCTCAGAGCTGTTCCAGCATGGTCAAACCAATATTTCTGCTATCGTGAATGAAATTCAGACTGCAGTTGATGTACTTAACAAATATTTGGCTTGGCCAGGACCCAGCCTGAGAAGGATTATGGAAGGTGACACAACCATGTTCCAAGGAGAGAAGCTGAGTGGTAGAAGCAACACTTTCAAGACTGCAACGCGTGATATGCTGACATCACTGATTTCAAGTCTAAACAAAAGATTTATTGACATAGCCAGTACGATTCTCCATAACGCATGGATTTTGAATTTTAAATTGTGACCTGCAGAGTACAGTGGGAATGAAGATTTCGGGGATAGCGCTGTGCAAGCGTTGGCCCAGGCTCTTGAGAAAACACTGATGGAGGCAGAGGTGAATCCCACTTTGGTAGAGGATGAATGGACTGTGCTCAAAAGTTACATTTACAAGAGTAAGACCACTTGTTTCAAGACTGTCTTGGCAACAAATCAACCAATCATACGGAGAAAGGTGTGCCTCATTTCTCCATCTGGTTGACCTACTGCTTTCCATTCCAGCTAGTTCGGCTGATGCTGAACGTGGTTTTAGCCAGGTCAAACTCATTAAGACAGACTGGCGCAGTCGTCTCACTGATGACCACCTGACGGATCACATGGTGGCTCAGTTGCATACAGAGAGTGTTGGCAACCTCAATCCGGACAAAGCCATTGCCAGATTCCTAACAACTGGGCCCGCCGTGTGGATGGCTACACTCACACTGCTGGCTGCAGCACAGTGGAAGATCTGGACGACAGCAATGAGTTGAACGAGGAGCATGTACAGGAAATGCTTGTTCAAATGCAATGAAAAATCTGTGCTCCATGCAATTAATTTAGTTAATATGTGATTATTCCAGTGTTGGTTTATGATTTCTACTACTAAATAAATGTCGCAGTAAATCTGTGCTCCATGCAATTAATTTAGTTAATATGTGATTATTCCAGTGTTCACACTGTAAATCCGTGCTTCATGTTAATAATTTAGTTAATATGTGACTATTCCAGCGTTGGTTTATGATTTAACATGGTTTCTACTAGAAAATAAATGTCACACAATAAATAGAACTTTGTATAAACCCGGTAAGTGCCAATGTTTAATGTTTCTTGACAAAATGTTTAAGGGCTAGTAAAAGTTTATAAGGAATAGTAAATTTTCAAATCTACTAGTCCTGCTGGCGACTATGAAAAAATGGTGAATTTCTACCCCTGGTGAACACTGTTGTACTTTGTGCAAAGGTTAAAATAATGTTTGTTTTTTTCTAAAATAAACCTAACCTAACTTTAGTGGGTATGAAATACAGACCTCACCAACCTAGCCAAATATACCTACCTAACTTCCTTACCAGGGGGCTCTGCCACCTGGACCTCCCCCCCCCCCGGTATATTAAACACAAAGAACTTACTAGGATATGGTGTAATTTGAAATTTTTTCTGGACGTATCAGATCATGCGGCTGCATCGGCGCTTGTGCTGCCCGGGCGGCGGAGTGACTTGTTCTTGAGACGGCGGGATACGGCGTCGAGGAAGTGATGAATGAATGTTTACAAACAACTGACTTAGCACACAAACCCAGTTCTATTTCACAGTACTGTATTGCTGTGAACATTACTTTTTACTTAAAGGAACAATGTCGTGGTCTTGGAAAAACTGAAGGGTCTCGTTGACTTTATCCCTAAATTCGCAAATTATGTCAATATAAGACAGGCGACAACCTTCATACGTCATGCTGAAAATGAAACTTCCGCGGGGAAGAAACAACTCCTTTCTAGAGAGCGGCCTCGTTATCACCGAGAAGACAAGTGCGTGCCTAGGAGCCTAATTATCTATCAAACAAAGCATTTGCACAAGATATGATTATCATATCAGAACTCACCGATGAAAATAAAGTAAAAAAATAAACAGTAAAATAAATTACTCGTCCGCGGGTCACTCACCAATATTAACCACAGTAATATAACTTTACTCCTATAGGGTTAGGGAAGGACATAATTGTCACTTATTACACAATTCAACGTCATGTTTTATTGATATTTCAATAAATTTATATTATAATTACATTACTATAAACATTCTAATGAAAAAACCACAATGACAAGGTAAAGACAATACTTTGAACCTTAAGACAATTTTTGACGTAACAGGAAAAAAAATAATGATTATAGTACTTTGAACCATAGATTAAAACTTTAGAAGGTGTAATTTGCTCATTAACCTGTCATTAACATCCTCCAACTTACCTTTAACAGACAGGTAAGTGAAGCTGGAGACTAACAGACAGACAGACACACTGACAGACTGGTACAGGTAGTGTTATTAAAACTCACCCACGTTAATCTTGCTTTAAAAAAATCATACGGTAATATATATGATATTCTTGATAAATTATATATTAAATGAGATAATGTTTTGTATTGTTGTTATAAGATATTATTTTCCAGTTAGTATTTTGTTCTGTCTAAAATGTCAACGTATAAAGACAACTAGAACAAGTACAGTATTTTAAGTCTAATAGGTTATTCTGATGTTATTTTTAGACCATTATTATAATTTGTTGAGTTTTTATATAGTCTTTTTTTTAATTGTGTCCTTCTGTCACCTGTTATTAGTTAATCATCCCGGTGTGTGAGGAGGAGGTGGTCCTGGTGGATGGGAGTCTTGTTTTAATTTTTCATGTTAATGGAGATAATTTAAAGACCTTTTTGACCTCGTGACTGATGTGTTGTGAATGACCTTCAATGTTCAGGTTATTTTTCGTTATCCACCCTTCACCTTTTTCCGCTAGTTTTCTTGGTGTTTTAGATGGTTCTCACATTTATCTTTGGGGCAAATGGCCGTTTTTGAGGGGTAATTATATAGGACTAAACTGTGGGCAAAATTGATTGAAAACACTAATAAAAACGCCGGATTTTCAGTGTTATTTTATAGTGGATACTGTTGTTGTTTTTTTTTAAATAAACTCTACTTAACATTTGTGGATATGAAGAACAGACCTAACCAACCAAACCTAACCTAACCTTACCTAACTTCCCCAGTATATTAAACAGAATGAACTTACTGTGATATGGTGAAATTTGAGGCATTTCTGGATGTGAGATCTGGCCACACCGGCGCTATGTATCCCGGCGGGTTAGTCCTATATATTAACCTCTTTTTTTTTTTTAAGATTGGTTAGGTTGGTTGGTTGGTTGGTTCCTTTGGTATGAGAAGAGGTTATTTTAGGTGTATTTATCAAATCTGACATTCATTTTTTGTGCAAATTAACAGATTTTGCAAACAATTTTCATTTTCATTTTAACAGAAACCGCTGATATATACAAAAATGGAGGTCAAATTTGAGTAATACAGTACACCCAAAATAACCTATTCTCATACCAAAGGAACCAACCAACCAACCTAACCTAACCTCACTAAAAAAAAAAGCAATTTGCCCCAAAGATAAATGTCAGAATAATTTAAAACAGCAAGAAAACTAGCCCAAAAAAACATATTTTTCATGTGAAAAAAGGTGAAGGGTGGATAACAAAAAATAACCAATGTTCCTTGACAACCAAAGAAAAAATGTTGGTAATATTTACCGTAACTTAGTCAGTTCTTTGGATTATTAAGCCAGCCACCCCATGAAAAATATTTATTGAAAAATAATTTTTTGTATACCTCAAGAATTTAACAGGTAGCTGTAAAATCTGGCTTACTGTCTTTAATTAAATATTACCAAAATGTCATCTAATACAAATTAAGTTCACAGTTCAGGGCGTTTAATGTTGGTTAGTTATTTATATTGTACCCAGTGTCACGTACTGAAGTTAACCGTGGTGGAGTTGTTCTGAGCATGTGCAGTTCAATCAAAAGCTAACCAAACTAAACCTCGCCTAATTAAAATTAATCTGACCTAACCTAACCTAATCTTTTATTCCGAGGGGTAATCTCGGCACACTTCAAGCTTTAAATGATGTCTTGATTGACCTCCACATGCCTAGAATATTTCCAGAATGCTCAGCACGCCACAACAGTACAAAAAAGTAGCCAACGGAAATTAAACATACAGTATTGACATCTATAGGAGGAAAGAGGATAATTTTTCAATTTATTTTCAGCATCATTTCTAACATATGTTGATGTGATTCAAGAATTTTGCACTTAATGTTTGCTTTTATTTTGCGGTTCTAAAATCTCCAGTTGTAAGCGTTCTGTGCCAATTCCAGAATAGCCCTGAGCATTATGGGAATTCTCATTATGTGTGATATTTCTTCAATTGCCCAGCGTCCAGTAGGTATTTTTACCGCCACAGCTTAACCTAACCTAATGTTCTAGTTCTAACCTAACCTCACTCAGTCCAAACCTAACCTAGCCTAACTTAGTCCAAACCTAATCTTACCTAACCTAGTCCTAACCTAACCTATTCCTAACTTTAAGGGGATGATAAAATCTCCATGATCTTAATAAAAGGAGTAGTATTGAAGACAATTATTTATTTATTTTTATTTTTTTAAATAAGATATGAATTTTTTTTTAATTGTTTATAGGTTGAGAAATTTCATCTGATCAGTGACAAAATACATATTTATTTGTATATTTGTATATATTACAGAGAGAATGATATCACTTAACAATTCTGTTCGTGTGTCTGGAGAAGAACCTGATCCTGCACGTGAAGAAAGATCTGGCCGTGTTCGTGAAGTTGGTAGTCAAGCAGTATGGTCACTATCCTCTTGTAAACCAGGTTTGTAAAAATATTTTTCCAAGTACAGTATTATCCAACTATATATGCTGTATTTTTCTGAGCAGTATTTAATTGTTACATAGCAGTTTACAGGTTATCAGTGAGTGTCATAAAAGAACCCCCGGCACAGTTCACCATTGCCAGGAAACTTGAATGTGTTTAGTGGCAAGCTCTGGCAAAAACGTGAGGGAGGGCAGAGAGCTGTGGGCCCCCATGGAATTCATGTTTATTCATATGCAGAACAAATGGCCCCAGGATTGCACATCCCTATAGGACTAATAGATGCTCATCTGATTTTGGCAAAATGTTCTGTGGCTAAAAAATAAAAAGTATAAATGACCATGAAGACTCGCACTAAGCAGGAAGGATGACGTGGTTAGCTAATTGCTTGATTGGATTCAGACTGCATAGGAATTGCTTTATAATGCATGACTCATAAATGATGGGTTTTGTTGCTAAACATATCAAAGCCCTGACATTAGTAGGCTCTGTCTGCAGTCCTCCTATCTTCCCCTCCACTACAAAAATGGTATTTCAAGCTTCACTCTGGGATTCATTATTTAACCAAACTGTTGTATTCATAAATGCAAAAATGATTTAGCATCCTTCAATTCATGATTTTATAAAATTTTGGAATTGCCTCCTTTATATTTTATTAAGTGTACTTTATAATAAGGTTTTGGCGTGGAGCAGTTACGTGATGATTGCTTGGACACTTACTGGCAGTCAGATGGTCCTCAGCCCCACCTTGTCAATATTCAGTTTCGGCGCAAAACAACTATACAAGATGTATGGATATATGCTGATTATAAAGCTGATGAAAGCTACACCCCCAGCAGGTGAGGCTCACTCTTGCACTGTACAATATATAAAGCTTCAGATTATTTCATAGTGCAGTACATGGGTAGTCTTTGATTACCATTGGGAGTTGCAATCCTGCCTTTCCACCTATTCCCATCCAGTCATTAAACTTTGGTTCAACATATTTGATGACAACTGCTCAGTACTGTACGTATAGCTTTGATAATACAGTACATTTTCTTTTTATAAATTTCTTTCAGAATCTCCATTCGCTGTGGAACACACTTCAATGATCTCCAAGAGATTGAAGTGGTTGATTTGCATGAACCAACTGGATGGCTACTTATTCCCTTGAAGGATATTCATGAGCGCCCCATCCGTACATACATGGTCCAGATTGCTGTATTATCAAACCATCAGAATGGAAGAGATACGCATATGAGACAAATAAAGATTCATTCCCCAGTTGAAGACAAGGCTGTTGCTGTGGAAAGTGTTGGGGCATTTACGTCATCTGCATTCAAACGATACAGTTGCACTAGATGATGTTACTTGCTTTGTAAATGCCTCTTTGTATATAGTGTAATTGAGCGGAGTATCTGATTATATTACTGTACTAGAAATTCTATAATATTTTTTTGGTTTCACAGACTAATATCAGAGAATATTAGGTTGTATAAAGATAAATTTGCCAGGAGGAAGTGAAATAAACAAGACAGCTGTATGGTTTTCAGTATTTATACAAATGGATGTAGTATAGCTACTTATTGCATCTACAACTTATAACTTATCATTTTGCTTATGTGACAACTGTAATCATATCACCAGTCACTAGAACAAACAAATTTATAGTCATACCAGCATAAGATAATACTCTACCTCTCCATATTATGAAACTTCTATTACAGGCAGTTCCCAATTTGTGAAGGTTTGATATATGAAAATTTGAAGTTATGAAAAGAAATTTGTCCCTTGATTTGATAAACAAACAAAGGGCCAATTTATGGTAGAAACCAGGTTTTGATTTTTCCATAAAAAATTTGTTTTTCACAGTTCGGACTATTCTATGACACTTTTCTTTTATGGCATTTCCGTCAGAAATGCCATAAAGAAAAGTGTCTTAGAATAGTCTGAAATACCTGTATGTGAAAATCTTATTTTTTTTTCTGGAAAATCAAAACCTGGCTACTCTCATAAATTGACCAAACAAAGAATCCAAACTTTTGATTTTTTCACCATTTTGTAATATTTCCTAAGTTATAACAAAATACAGCACCAAAATAATATTTTGTTTTGTTTTTACTACTGTACTGTTATGCTTACTTTTTACACACATTTATTCTATAATTCTCAAACTCACTGAGGACAAGAAAACTTGTAGCATAGTGTATGTGGCCAGTAGTAAAAATTCTCTTTGTTATGTGTCAATTTTCTCTTTCTTGGGCACACACATACACATGTACATAAAGGAGATCTCGCACTCAGGATGGAGGAGAGAAAGGAAACTCACAATAACGTTCTCTTTATGTATATTGTATGTACATTGCAGTAAGATGCAGGGGAGTTGCTGTGTTGTAGAGAAGCTTGTTGAGAGGAGGTCTTGTCGGCTTGAGAGCGTGGAGTAGAATGACCTTCACGGCAAGGCGGGGGCGTATTTATATGATTCTCCCTACTCAAGGTCCAGAGATGCAAGCTGCTGCTGCTGATTGGCTGAGGTGAGGGCAGTAACTGGCCAATCTGCAAGCAACTCGGGGGCAGAAACTGTGGTCTGGAACTCGCTGCTGATTGGCTGAGGAGAGGGCGGCAAGTGCCCAATCAGCGAGCAGTTCAGGAGCAGGGGCTGTGGTATGGAACTCACTGCTGATTGGCTGAGGTGAAGGCGAGAGGTCAGTTGTAGGGGAAAGTGTCCACTACAATACTCCACCTCCCCTCCGGGCACTGCAGGAAACTTTTTGTCGGCAGGGTTGTATCCCACTTGCGAGACATAGCGGGCAGGGGTGTGAACCACTCTGCCACTACGAGTGACGACTCTGTCGAGTGACAAAATCTGTGGGAGAAGGAGGGTTGTAGATATGAAGAAGGTTGAATGGCGGGAGGAACAGGCAAGGAATGTTGGTGCTTCTCTCGCAGCAGGTGCCAAGTCCTCGGTGACGCCGGGTGGGGTGTCTGGGTCCACAGAGCCAGGTACAGGATCCTCATCAGGGGCAGGGTCAGGAGCAGTCGGTACCTGTGAAAGAAAAGAGGCTGCCCGGAAATGGTGTGACGAGGTGGTGCTGCAGGTGGCAATGGTGGCCAGACTGGTGAAGGGGAAGCAGGCCTGGTTTGCAGGGGGTCATGTGGTTCACATTAGGAGCAGGATCCTCATCAGGAGCAGTACTGTAGGTACCTGAGAATGAAAGGGCAAACAGAAATGTTGTGGACTGGGTGGTGCTGCAACAGTGGGCAGACTGGTGAAGGAGGTGCAGGTGTGGTTTGTTGGAGGTAATGCTGGGCTGGGGCACCATCGGGTAAGGTGGCCGGCTTCACTCGATTGATGCTGACGGTGTCGTATCTGCCATTGCCATTGATTGTCAGGAACTTCGCTGACCGTGCAAGCACCGGGAAGGGTCCGTCATAGGGGCGTTTGAGTCACAACTCTGGCATAGTCTCCTGCATTTCCTCGGCACTACCAGGCACCGCACAACTGCTTACGACCCTCATTCCAACGGCATGGTAGAACGGTTTCATCGTCAGCTGAAGGACACCATCAAGGCACAACACGACCCCTACAGCTGGACAGATGCTCTACCCTTAGTGCTCCTTGGCATCTGCACATCACACAAAGAGGACATGGACTGCAACCCAGCAGATCTCACCCTAGGCGAACCCCTTCGCCCACCCGGGGACTTCTTACTTACTCCTGACCTTGACCACTTCACTCCTACTGTCCGTCACGACCTACAACAAACACTACGACAAGCAGTTTCTGCATTCAAGTCTACTGCCCCACGCAATCCTTCCCATCACCCTGAACACATCCCTGCTGCACTACTCAACGTCGAGTATGTCCTCGTCAATAACGATGCTCACCGCAACCCACTTCAACGCTCCTACGACGGACCCTTCCCGGTGCTTGCACGGTCAGCGAAGTTCCTGACAATTAATGGCAATGGCAGACACGACACCGTCGGCATCGATCGAGTGAAGCCGGCCACCTTACCTGATGGTGCCCCAGCCCAGCATTACCTCCAACAAACCACACCTAAACCTCCTTCACCAGTCTGCCCACTGTTGCCGGTTGCAGCACCACCCGGTCCACAACATTTCCATTTGCCCTCTTTTCATCCTCAGGCACCTATTGCTCCTCATCCTGCTCCTGATAAAAATCCTGCGCCTGGCCCTGTGCACCCAGACACCCCACCCAGCGCCCCCGAGGACTTCGCACCTGCCGCGGGAGAAGCATCACATTCCTCGCCTGTTCCAACCGCCGCTCACCCTTCTCATATCTACTACCCTCCTCCTCCAGATGCTTTTCCTCCTGCTTCTCCCACAGATTATGTGTCTTTGACGGAGTCGTCACTCATAGCGGCCGAGTAGTTCACACTCCCCACCCGCTATGCCTCACACGTGGGATATGACCCTACCTACACCAAGCTTCCTGCAGCACCCGGAGGGCAGGAGTATTGTATTGTAGTGGTTTACTCTCACTACAACCGCTCCGTCGTCCTCGCCTCAGCCACTCTGTAGCGAGTTCCAGACCACAGTCTCTGCCCCTTTCTCGCTCGCAGATTGGTCACCTGCCGTCTTCACCCAGCCAATCAGCGGCGCCGCTCACCTCACACCTCCGACTTTGATCAGGCAGAATTATATAAATAACCCCCTGCCTCGCCATGAAGGAAGAAATCCAAGAACATGGTTGGTTTAAATCAGCCAGAAAGAAAGTAATTGAACCATCTCCTGCCCCAATATACACACAAAACATTAATAGAGAGAATAAAAGATGAGTGACCTACCAGCTCCACTAAGAACCTGGCAGGCTTCTCCATACAGTGTACCTTTAGACTAAAACAACTAACATTTTTAATACGCCTGCAATCATCTTGCTTAAACAATATATGAAAGACTACAATTAAAAAACAAAAAAAAACATTGTTATTACTCATGCAAGCTTGGAAGAAGTCACTGACAATTTTTTAGGAAATTAGAAGTGATATTTTTTCTTCATATTCATCCCACAGCTTCCATAGACGGACTTGTTTGCCATGATTAGCTTTTCTTGTGCACGATTTTAGGTTGTACTCGGCAACTAGTTGCTAAGACCGAGGAAGTAGCTGATAGAATGGAGGTGGTAGCAAAGAGGAGTTACGGTCAGGCCTTAGCAGGGCCACAGGAAGTAGCGGGGAGTAATGCAGGATCAGAACAGGTTCTACAGCTGCTAGGGACTCTGAAGAAGTGTGTTGAAAATAATTATGACAGCTAGCAGGCCTACTGTTAAGGGAGCGGAGGAGCAACGGGAATGCCTCCAGCACAGGAACAACGTACTTGTAATAGTCTATGGAGTCCTTGAGTGTCAGGTTTGTGAGGCGGAGACTAGGAAAACACACGATAAAATGCAGTTTGTGAATATTTGTACAGAGGCTCTTGACAATGCCACACCCCTCAGGATGTGAGGAGTCTGGGACAAAAGCAGGGAGAGAAGCCTCGCCCCCTCAGGATAACACTAGAGAGTGAGGAGAAGAAATGGGAGGTTATTCGGCACAAAAAACTTATCAAAGCGCGAGACATTTCATAATGTATTCATTAGCCCAGATCACATGGTATTACAGAGGGAACAGTGCAAGAAGCTCCTGCAGGATTTGAAGCTGAGAAGAGAGGAGTCGAGGAGAAACCAGGATGGGTGTACATGGGTTATATTTAGGGGGTTAGGTAGTGGAAGCAAGTGTGCCGACACAGAGCCAGGGGGCAGCAGCGCACCCTCCACCCGCTCTATCCCCCACCTGGGAGGAGGCATCTGCTCTGCCTACCAGACAGGAGGAGGCGAGCGCCGTGTAAACACTGACATTTCTAACCAAATGCTGCAGCTTCAGAGAAAGGAGGGGGCCGGAGTTACTACTAAGAGCAGAGACGTTACCGAGAACAAATTCTGGCTTGAATGTCATGTACACTAATACTGACACGTTCCTTGAAAAGAGAGAGTAGTTTGAAACACTGGAAGGTACACCAACCAGATATTGTAGGAGTTGTAGAACTGTTGTACAAGAACAGGAGAATCAACCCAGAGGAATGAGATTTCCTTGAAAAGAGAGAGTAGTTTGAAACACTACTGAAGGTACACCAACCAGATATTGTAGGAGTTGTAGAACTGTTGTACAAGAACAGGAGAATCAACCCAGAGGAATGAGATTTCATTATTGCTGGATATGACTCATTTACGAACCTTTTTCAAGAAACTTGCAACAGATGTGTGGTTATCTATGCTAGGCAAGACCTTAGAGCCAGCCAGGCGAGGGTAGAAGGAGAGGGTGTTTTTGAGGAGTCCAAGTGGTGTAAAATTAAATTAAAGGGAGGGGACTTACTTATTGTCGGAAGTATCTACAGATCCCCAAACTGTAGCCTACCAAACCAAAGGAACTTAAGAGACTTGATAGACAATGCAGGGATGTTCAACCCTAGCCACCTCCTTATCATGGGGGACTTTAATTATGGCGACATCGACTGGAGAAACAAGTTCACCCCAAATGATTT